CTGCCTGCAGACAGTTGCCTTCTTGCTGTGTCCGCTGGTGGCAGAGTGCGAGCTCTGGTCCCTTCACCCACTTACAAGGACACTAATCCCATCCCAGGGGCCCACCCCATGACCTCATCTAAACCCAATTACCCCCCAAAGGCCCCACCTCTAAATACCTGTTAGGAATTAGGGCTTCATCGTATGAATCTGGAAGGCACACATTCAGTCCATGACAAACCAAAAAAAAGAACTTTTTGAAGAAGAAGCAGGGCCTCAGAGGCCGGAGGGCCACCATCAAGAGCACCACCACGCACCTGATGAAGCCCTGGAGGTGCTCCTGCCACAGGACATTTGCACCTACTGCTTGCCCCTCGGCGTGCACCATTCCTCCTTTGTCAATCAGCATGGCTCACTCCCTTCCCCAGGCCTCTGCTCAACACCGGGGCCTTGCCTGGCCTCCCTGTAAACAGCAACCCCCTCCCTCCCCACCGCAGAGGCAACAAGCACATGAGCCCTCCCACCCGGCTTTGCTTGGCTCCATGCTGCCCCCTGTCGGACAGTCTGTGTTATCTGCTTGTCTGTTTGGGTGTGGTCTTCTCCCTCCCCCAGAAGGGACGTTGCAGGAAGGCTGAGAGAGAGTGTGTCGTTTCATCCTTTCTTACAGCACCTGCTGCCACGCAGTCCTGGTGCCCCAACAGATGCTCAGCCAATGTTTTTGAATGAATGAACTACATTGGCCATGAAAACATCTATATGCTGTGATCCAGTGAATTCACTCCTGGGAATCTGAGCAAATAATTCAAGGGAAGAGCAAAGTTATACGGATGCAAATGCTTGCTGCCAGGGAGTCGGGTGTGTCGAACTCCATTTCACCAAGCGCACGGGGAAGGCTCACAGGAAGGCTCACGGTGAAAAATGAGCCTGCGGGCCCGGTTGTTAGCAAAGGCCCCTCAGAAGAGAGAGTTTTGAACAGAACCCTGAAGTAAGGGGCGGGTTCGGTTTAGCAGAAGACACTGGCCAAAGACCCAGGGGGCAGGATGGGTCCTGGAGAACGAGGCCCAAGGTCCCCAGTCAGCCCTCCGCATCAGGGGACCCAGGGGAGTGGAGCTTGAGGAGCAGAGAAAAGTGGGTGGGTGCAGGGCCTGAAGGGTCACAGAACACGCCTATAATTCAGGTTAAATATGACAGAGCCCTTCTCGTGATAAGCAATGGAGCATCCCAAGATCGTATAAATGTGAAGTTTGCATCTTACGAAAACTGTTTCAAAACACCTGCGAATGTGTAACCTATCTGTGATTTGCTCTCCCAAGTCAGGGAAATCATCCCGCAGCTGGTGGCAGATGCTGTCAAACACACGCCCACCGGGTGTCTGGCATGGAACCCGCGATCGCAGGGCGGGCCTCCCGGGCTGACACGCCTCCACGCCTACGGAGGATCCGTATCAGATCATTTGGGGGTTGTCGGTGTGTTTGTAAGTCTATCAGAAAAGATCTGAGAGTAATTTCAACAGAAAGAATGAAAAGTCGCTCCTCAAGATGAGAAAGGTCCTTAGACGGGCAAACTATTCAGGCAAGAATATTTGAGAACACAGTAATAACAACAAAATCCTCAGGGCATGGACTAAACAGATCTAAAGACAGTGGGGGGGCTCTGTCTTAACTGATGAGCAAATGACTTGGGCACATGTAAATCTGAGCAGCCGTGTGAATCTATAAGCCCCCCCCCTCATTTACTGGGGACCTGTATGGAATGAGGCCCAGTGACAGCCTCAAACCATGTTGTCTCACGAAGCCCATGAGTTTCTATGCTCAGCACTCTACAAAGAAGAAAGTTGTACAGTCCCAAATCCCTTACCCAAACTCCTGGGACACCTTGCAATTCAGAATACTTTGGATTCCAAAAGAGAGTAAGGTGCACAGACCTTACATTTCATGGCAGCCCGGGTGACGTCCACAGGAGTACCTGTAATCAAACACACAGGTAAATACAGACTACACGCAGCCTCTGTCCAGGCCAAGGATTCGCTACCAAACAAGTTTGTTGCTTTCGGGATTTTTGAGTTGTGGATAAAACGTGGTGAATCATGGAAATGAGCTGTCTCCAGAAAGGCTGAAACTATGGGGGGGAGAGAGAATGTGTGGAACTCAGCAGACAGAGTCGGGGTCACAGGACTTCAGGTGCTCTGACTCCCAGCCCCAGACCACACATGACCTTCCCATACCACAGCGTGACTTGACCAAGGGAAAGAAACATCAGTGACTTGTGATGCCCGAGGCTTTTCAGAAGCCAGGAGCACCAGGTCATTTGCTTTGCTGAGACCCCGGACTACAGAGAATGGAGTGGGGTGGTAGCTCTGGAGACGTGGTTTGGACAGAAGGTCAGGATCTGCTCAGCAAAGAGGTGGGCAGACAGCAGAGAGGAGGATTCTGGGAGGGGACATAAAGCAGAACCCCAAGCCAGTTTTTGTGCCCTTTTGCTGTACAATTTGTAATTTCTTTTCTCCCCACAAAACCATCCCAAACTCTCCATATCTCATTAAGACGTTGCAAAGTTGGATTTAACTCAGGGATACCTGAAATTGCTGAGCCCTGCTTCAAGGTGGATGTGCACCTAGAACAGAGTCCACCCTGAGATCAAGCCGGCCCCCAAGATACACCGGACCATGCCCACCACCCGTATGCAGTGTCCGTTCCTGAAATCTACAAACTGAAATTTACAACACCATCTGACATCCCTGGCAAGAGCCCTGACTGGAGGCATGTTCTGTAAATACACTTTGGAACAGGAAGGCCTGACGTTGCTTTTCGACCTCAAGATATCGAAATGAGCTTACCAGCAATTAGACAAAGCAGCTAGCAAATAACAATTTAGAACAGGGTATTGAGATGCTCCAAAGGAAGCCCTTCCAATGAATAGGTAGCCACTCAAAATGAAGTGAGAAATAAATAAGTGGAAGGTATCGATGGAAGGGACTCAAGCCTACGGAGCTGGAGGAGGATGTGAGGGAGGGGGGATCTCTTCAAGCAGGGCTGGTGGGAATCCCGAGCAGGCTTCCTTGTGAATTCATACGGAAATGACCACAGGAAGATGGGGTCATTATGCCGGGACTAGGCAGGTGAGAGCATGGTGGCGAGCAGGAGGGAGGGACCCCAGTAAGGGACTTCCATTAGAAGGCAAAGAGGTGTCAGATTGGCTCAGGGAGGGTAGGGATAAATTGTAGCAGACCTAGGTAGATTTTTTTGTTTTTCATGGACAGAATAGAGATGATTCGTCCAGCTCTTTCTCCTCGTTATCAAAATTAATTTGCTGTTTTTTCTCCCCCTGGCCCCTGGATCCAGCCTGTACGTTCACATTATTAGCAAGGGCACACTTCCCCAGTGCTGTGTGTGTGCACCACCTGGGGATGTTGTGACGAGGCAGGCTGTGATTCAGCAGGCCTCGGGAGGGGCCTGGGACTCTGCATTCCCAGCAAGCCCCCAGGGATGCCATCTGAGGACCACGCTTGGAGTAGCAAAGATCTAGGATCTAATCCTCATATTGGGGGAGACAGCAAGGCTGCCCAGCTACTGCCCCTGAATCAGGGACCCTCCCCCCACCAGCAGCCCCCTGGGAAATGCAGTCTGGCCTCTGGTCCCTGCTGCTTTTCTCATATTGGAGGCCTCTAGTTCTGTGCGACCAAGTGTCCAACTGTGTTCTCCTTCCCTTGCAACCAGAAGTTCTAGAGTTAAGTTTTATATTGCATCAGCACAAAGCCAGAGCAAACAGGGGGCCCCTAGTGTTCGGGAACCTCTGTTGGTTTCCAGCAAACACTGGTATTGATTAGAAATTGGAGGGGACCCCAAAGGACTTCAACCATTTACAACCAAAACCATAAGAGAAACACCTCAGAAGGGGGCTTCATGGGAGGAACACTCAACAGGGGCGTTGCACAAGGTCTAAACACTGCTCCTTGTAAGCAAGTAGCTGAGAAGAGACTGGAGCCGAGACACCTTCCTGTGGGGGAAAGTGCCACAAGGCAAGGGAAATGGAATTGCTAGTTTGGCAAACCAACAGATGTGAGGAGGGCTTCATAGACAACCTAGCCTTTGCAGCCGGGGTTCCTGTGAGAAAGCTGGACCAGACAGGCCCCCTGGGAAGGATAGACCAGGCGGGAAAGCCTGGGAAATTCTGAGCTCAAGAGACACAGGAGAACCACGTGATGCCAAGCAGGGGCCAGGAATGGAAGAGTCAAGCACAGAACCGACGCTGGAACGATTCGTATGTTTCAAAGTCCACTGGAATGAGCCTTGTTCCTTTGCGCCCGGTGCCTTTGCAGATGCTGTGCCCCTGGCCTAGAACTTTCTTCTCCACACCTGCCAAGTCTGCTTGGCCTAAAAGACCAGTTCAAATGCAACTGTAGAGCAGTGGCTGGAGTCCTGTAGGCAAATGGGGCCAAGGCTATGTATTCTGCTGTGTATAATGCACACGTTTTGCCCAAATTTTTGAGGGGAAAATAAGGATGCGCATTATACCTGGGTATCATGATTGCATACCATAAGTCTAACAATCCCGTGTATAATAGGCACAAAACGTGGGTGTGCATTATACACAGCAAAATACACGGCTTTGGCCCCCTAGCCTGCTACTGTGCTAATTAGGGGTGAGTGGAAAGACTGGAGTAAGAGCGAGCCGGAATTCTGGGGTCAGATGTTCTGGATTCGAACCCCAGCTCTGTCACTTACCACCTGTGTGACCCTGAGGAATTCACAACCTCGAGTCCCAGAGTCTTCTTGAGACACTCGGAGATAACATCTAACTCACAGGGTCACTGTACTCGACACCAAAAAAAGAAAAGCAGCCTAATTGGGACCACTTGGCTGGTGGAAGGCACGGAGCGCTGCACTGTGATAGCTGAAAGGCCTGTCCGCGCTCCCCTTCGAGACTGTGGTCCCCACGGGCAGGGCTCCCTGTTCTCGGCAGGACTCTGCGTCCTGCTCACACTATTCTGGGTGCTGCCAAGAGCTGGAGGAGGATGTGAGGGAGGGGGATCTCTTCAAGCAGGGCTGGTGGGAATCCCGAGCAGGCTTCCTTGTGAATTCACACGGAAATGAGGCCAGCAGCAGCCTGCCACCTTCTGCCAGGAAGGAGAGCAACGTCTGCAACTGTGAGTCACTGTAAAGGTTTCGCTACAGACCCATCTTGGGGCACCCGGGTGTGGGGGCGCCGGGTGGGAGGAGGGCACGGTCCTGAGGTCAGCTCTGTGCTCCCCGGGGGCGCAGAGAAAAAAGCAAGCTGGGACTGGGCCTGGGCGCTGGGGAAGTTGGCCTCTGCGCGGATTTTCCTGGACAGGTGCCCTCAGGGCGGCGAGAGCCTGCCTCGGGCCCCAGGACGGGGGGCACAGCCAGGAGGTGTCCCGCCGGGCGGGCTGGCTTTCCTGCGCCCTGGAGCCCTGCAGCGCTTTCTGGAAGCTCCTGTTCCGGGAAGTCGCCCTGCACGTTGCTGAGGACCACGGAACAGAGTCCTGCTGGACACAAAACTCAGCACATCGAAGGTGCCCGGCCACCTGAAACCCAGCAACACAGACCGCGACTGTGCCCGGGCTGGCAACATGCCCAAGCCGGCCCCACTCAAGGGCGTTTGAGGACACGTCTTCGCTGCCAGCAGTACCGCCCCAGGGCGTGGCCCGGAAGCGTCGGCCAATCGGGGCCGGGGGCGCTTGGTCACGCGGCCACTGGCCGCGAAAAGGCTCTTCCGCCTTCCGCCTTCCAGCTCCGCCCAACGCGCCGAAAGGCCGCTGGTACCCCACCCGACCCGCCCCAACGATCTTCTCGCGAGAGCAAACCAAAGAGCTGGTCTCCTCTTCGGTCCGACGCCGCGGAGAGCCGCACCCTGAAAGGGAGGCTGTGAAGGGCAATGGCTCCATGAGGGTCGAGGGCAAGAGTTTCGGAGGGTTCAGCAGCCCTCCCACCACATCCCAGCCAGGACAGCGGGCTCCGCGGGGCTGCACGTAGTCCTGGTCTTATCGTGTCTCATCCAGCCCGCTGCGGGGCGCCGCGGCCCCCGGCCCCGGCCTGGGCCGTGCACTTGCCCGGTTGGGTTAACGGGCGTCAAGGGGCTTTGGATCTCGCGGTTTTGCGGCTTTTCTATCTTTGTCACCACTCGCCGCTCCACCCACTGAAAACGTTGCAGGAGAAAACGCTCCAGCAAGAAATCCGGGTCAACCTTACTGTATCCCACAAAAGCTCCAGCTTGTTCCCAGACTATTCTACCCTGTAACCACCCTGCGGGGTGGGCTTCATCGACTCTTTTAGAGATGAGGACACAGGCACGGATGTGTTTGAAGAGCTTGCCCAAGGTGGCACAAAGCCAGGCTCTGCATCTCAGCCGCGTGGCATCTTCAAGCAGCGCACCCCACGTGTTGTTTCTGGCCCAGAGATGCCAGCTGCCAGACCCAACCCCCGGGCTGTAGAAGACAGGCTGTCACCGGTACCCACAAGGGCAGAGTCCCTGGCGTGGCCCTGGCCGTGGAACCCCGGTGCTTCGCTCCAGCTGTGATGAGAATGCTCAGGCTGTGAAGGGGCCACTTCTGAACCTCGGAGCCGGCCAGGAGTGAAAAATGGGCTCGCTCAGAGAGGCCTCTCTGAGGGAATTCCTACGGGCGTATTAAAATTGTCCCAGCTTACATTCATTCATGTCAAATAGACCTGTATCTCAGGCCCAATGTGATATCTTGGTAGAGCCAAACCAGTCTTCTTGAGCCACCTACAGGTGACTCAGAGGGCCCCTACCAGCTACAACAGCCCAAGAAAAGGCCTGAAATGGCACCAATGACAATTCTCTTAAATTAAGAACCAAGTTCTCTAAATTCATTAATACATGAAATGTACTAAACCCCTAAATTCTTTTTGTTTTAAAGATTTTATTTATTTTCAGAGAGAGGGGAAGGGAGGGAGAAAGGGAGAGAAACACCAGTGTGTGGTTGCCTCTCGTGCGCCCCCTGCTTGGTACCTGGCCCACAACCCTGACTGGGAATCGAACCGGTGACTCTCTGGTTTGCAGGCCAACACTCAATCCATTGAGACGCACCAGCCACGGCTAAACCCCTAAATTCTGGTAGAACAGAATGTAAACTGCTGTGTTCCTAGGGAGAGGGAGGAGGATGCAAACATGAGGCAAGGGGCTCCCCCTCCCAGGAGGGACCCTAGAGAGAATCCAAGAGGGATCTCTCCACTTGGGGCAAATCACTCAGGAAGTTCTAACAGCTGCTTTGTCCAACTCAGTATTCCCTGAGCCTTAGAAGGTGCTTTTCTGCCTTTTATGGGGTTCCACGGTCACATGAACCTACTGAGCACTCACAGCTGATGTGGCCACGGTCCAGATATTTAAGCAGGAATCCCAACACCCTCTAATGGCCAGATGTCCCTCTCAGCAGCCACGTCATCAGAGAGCAAGATTCCCAAACCAGGCCTCTCTCAGGACTTACCAGAACCATTTCTGTTTCCCATTCTAGGAAGCAGAGCAAAGTCATATTCAGAAAACAATGAGAAGGAGCCATTAAGATAAACCAAAAGGAACACAAGTCAATAAATCAACTGTGTGTGGCTCTGAAGAAGAGACCGAGAACCCCAAGGTGACAGAAGCATTAAACATCACGATTAATCTGGGAAAACTTGCAATGTCTGAACATGCCTTTGACTCTTGTCTTCATCTGCTCAGACTCCTGCTGACATCAAAGAAAAGCCCCAGCTTGAGAGTGTGGACTTTGCAGAAGGGGTACTGGTCATGTAACATCTGACGAACAGATTTGACCCCTCCACCCTCTTAGAAATAAAGGGTATATTTCGATAGCAAGAACGCATCCATACATTTTGAGAAATGGTATTATCTAAATAAAGCATATGGCCCAAAGGAAATTAAATCCCTCTTCAGTGCTCCACCAGCAGCAGCAGCAGCTGCAAATGCTCGGGGGTAGCCGTACTCAGCTCCCTGATCAGATCAACCCGATGGGACTTAGAGGAAGTCACCCTCTCCCAATAGCCAGCAACCTTGTTGGCCTCCCAATAAAGATGCCATGACTTCCAACTACATGGAGGGTCGATGCACCCAGAAGTCTCAGGGCCTCTTACACCTTGGTATGGGCCATGCCTCCTCTTCCCCCCTCCTCCACCCCACCCCCCACCCCGAGGCATGGCACAGCGTAGCTGCCCACTAAACCTCCCCTGGGGAAGCATCAGCATACACTGGGTAGAAGAGAGGTGGCCCCACGCCACTTCTGGGAACTGGGATTCAGCAAAGATCCAGATGGGTTGGTGTCGTGGCAGAAGGGATTACGTTTCCCAGACAGCCGAGCTGGAGCTGGCCTTGAAAAATTAGAGGATTTTGATGAGTCGGAGGTATGAGCGGGCAAAAGCCTTGGGAAGGAAGTGAGAACTGTGCGTGCTGGGGGACACTGTGGAAACCACATGGGTGGGGTTCACCCGAAGGACGGGGGATAGGAGCACACAACCCTGTGGTACCCCACTCGGTGAGCCAGGCACTGGGACATCACTGAGACTCATCCGAAGCGGTGACTTGGGCTCCTCCTCTGAAATATCTGGTCTACCAGCAGCTCACCCAGCATCCTGTAAGCACGCCGCTTGTGCCGGCACCACTCTGAGCCCTGGGATCCTGGGGTGACCGGAACAGCCTGGGAGCCCTCCCTCGGGCCTCACGGCCCGCTGGGGGGGATAGACATGTGTTTCTACCAGAGGGTGACGAGCGCTCTGAGGAAAAGCAGAGGGCGCCGTTTCAGGCGGGGGAACCAGGGTTTGACTCCCCTCGACTTCCCTGTCTCGGCACCACAGGTGTGTCTTCCCCAGAACCAACTGTGGCTCTGGGGCTTATCCTTTGCATCTGTCGATTATACTAACAACAGTCGCGTTGCGACAAGAAACCATTCCAGATGTTTGCTCCCATTTGCAAAAGTGATGGCTCAGCTCTGCCTGCTACAAGCATTTATCAGCTGTTCACCACACTGTGCACACACAGACGGGCACAGGCACGTGGTGACCTCACATGGCAGGGCCCTGAGAACATGGCACGTTTGGGAACTCACTGAACGCGCCGTTCCCCCACACATCCTCCTGAGGCCTCCGCTCCCTATATAAGGCTGTGCAGCCACGCACACAGGCAGACAGACAGAGCCATCAGCACTGCGGGGTTGGTTGGCTATCTTTGGAAACTATGCCCATCTTTTGGGTCCCACTGAGGGCACTCCACCTGTGGTTATCTTTTGGCGGCACGTTGGCCTTATAAAGGCACGCACATGCCCATGCCACTCAAGTGGAAGGAATGCAGGCACGCGGCTGACATCATCCTCCCAGGTTAGGGACTGCGGAGGGCGCAGCCCCACATTCTGAGGTTGCACCGCTCTGGCTTCTGCACTTTGCTGCACTTAAAACCCAATCAGGTGCATGCGACCTGAGACCCAGAGATTCAGGGTCAGAGGAAGCTGGAATTCTGCAAGTCGCTGGCCCCAGGAGCCCCGGCGGCCAGTGGGCCATGGAGCACACTTCGAGAAACTGATTCACTGTTTTACCACCAAAAGGCAGCGTTGGAGGCAGGTGTTTGGAGAGGCCACTCCAGGGCGCACGCAGACACTGTAAAGAGCATAGGACAGCTTCCTTTTCAAACCCAAGTGCAAGCCGTGCGGAAGTTTATGCCAAGAGGTCTAGGGGAGATTGGGTGGAGGGGGTTTATCTCTCAATGTGCCGCCCGGGTTCCCACTTTTCCCGCCAGGATTCCCCCTCCCCTTGGAACTGTCCTCTTCTTTTTTTTTTTCACTTTTTCATTCTGCCCATCCAAATTCCAATCCTAGATCGAAGTCTCTTTCCTCTTCTCTCCTGAGCATAACAAAAATTAGCTGATATTTGCAGAAGAATGTTGATAAAACACTGCAGAAAACTAAGGGGAATCCTTATTGAAAATACAAATAGCAACAAACACACGCGCTTCCAAAGTGTAGGTTTCTGGTGTTTGGATGAAGGCCCACCAGTGGTAAGTGGTTGTCCCCCACCCCCCGCCCCGCCTCCTGGACCTGGGCTGGCGTGCACCCCCGTCCGCGTGTCAGCCGACACAGCCTTCGCCTCCTGCGGGGACCAGTGGGAAAGGTGGTTTCTTAGCCACGTGCGCGTCTCCCTTGCCCACAGTGGACCCGCTCGCAGGCCGGTCTCACACCAGGCCCCCGGGCACTCTGGCCCCTGGGCTCTGCAGGGAGGCCTTCCCGCAAATCCCATTCACGGCACGCCTGTCTCTTTGGAGGTAAGGGGAACATACGTGCCGGAATAATCCACGCCCACAGCCGCTCACAGGTGTGTTCCCCAGGGACACCCTGGGGTCCCATGAGACATGACATGCCAAATACAGCAAAACCTTGGTGCAATTAAACAGGTCCACCTCTCCAGCCAAAAACTTGAAGTCTAACTCTTGTCTTCACACCCGGCGGCACCTCCAACGCGTACCTTCCTGCGTTATCCCTGGCCTTAACCTGCAGGAAAAGGCCACGCCCACACAGCGATACAGGGTAGGGCAAAGGAGGTTTACAGCCGTGAGTATGCGAAACAGAGTTCATTCTTGTGTTCTTCTTTCTTAATTATTGTATTATTTCCCATACAAACAACTGTAAACCTGCTCTTGCCCCACCCTGTATTTTCATTTAAAAAAGAGAAAGAAAAAATGAATGTTGACATGCCAAAGCACATGTTTGGATTTGTGGATTAATTTGTGTGTAATGTCGTATAATTTCTAATAACTAACTTGCCTGTAGACAGTGAACAGGTCACCTCTACTGAAAAGAATCAGATTCCACAGAACGGAGACTGTCCTGACAAATCTGGATGTGTGGTTGCCGTAGTAATCGATGCCTTCTAGAACAAATCCATCCTTGGCTAATTACAGCCTTCTATTTTTAAACTCATCTACATCCTTCTCCCCCCTCTCCAACATTTCTCACACTACTTCAGCAATAAAATACTATCACTGCTGTTCGTACAGCCTGTGCTGATCTCAAAATAGCGGGTGTCCCGCTGGTCTCCGCCGGCTGCTGCGGAGAGAGAGGCGCGGGCTCCCTAGCGCGGGACGGGAGGCCGTCACACTCGCCGCTGGCGGGACCCACGCGCCAGCGGGCTGGAGGGAAGCTGTCTGGTGGACGAGAGGGAAGCTTCTGGCGGCCTGGACCAGAGACGGTTGGCACGGAGCAGGTGGTGGCAGCTACCTAGAAGCAGCCGTTCTCTGTGACTGGTTATGAGCGATGTTTGTCTCTCTGGTGGGTCAACATTGGAAGGAGGGGCACAGATTAGGGAAGCTGGCAGTCACTGGCCAAGGCCTGTCTGTTCGGGCCCCGCTGCCGCAGGGAGTGTGGGTCCCACGTCTATTTTTATGTACACGATCTCTCCATCATCAGTTCATGCTCAGTCTCTGGGCAAGTGCGGCCTCCCAAGGGGCCCAGGGGCTGCGGGACCCACAGCCTGGAAGGGCCTGGGAAGAGGGCCTGCAGGGGCGGGCGGTGTGTACCGGCACCAGGAAGGCTCAGGGCCCCCGGGCAGCGCCGGGGCAGTCCCACAGCACAGACCCGCTCAGCCCTTACTCAGGGGTCCTCCTGCCGTCATCTCTCTCTCTGTTCCCACAGGGCTGAGCACAGAGCCTAGCACCCCTTAGAGGACCTCAAAAAGCTTTTGTTTCTCTGGGGGAAAGCCGTATTTTCCGCCTTAGAACGGAGGCAGTTTTAAAACATTAAATGCATTATATGTTAATGTGATAACCATTCTTATGGGGGAAGGAAAAAAACCCTGCCCGGGCTGGCGTGGCTCGGGGGATTGGGCGCGAACCGCAAGGTCGTCGGTTCCATTCCCGGTCAGGGCGCACGTCTGGGCTGTGGGCCAGGTCCCGAGCTGGGGGCGTGTGTGAGGCCATCGATTGAATATCTCTCACATACGGATATTTCTCTCCCTCTCTTTCTCCCTCTTTTCCCCTCTCTCTAAAAGTAAATGAAATCTTTTTAAAAATATTTTTAAAAAAGGAAAAAAGAAACATATTTTCCAGAGGAAAAAGTTGCAAACGTGGCATTATTTAAACATTCTTAAATCTCTTGATTCCTTCTACTCTGACTGAAGAGCGGTGGCTGGAGTCCCCCGTCCGCCTCTGCGTCCAGCCTGTCCTGCCACCACACATGGCGCCGCCTCTGGAAACCTCCCCCCACCCCGCGCTCCTGCGTGAACAAAGCTGTAATACCATGAACATTATCATGAAATTGATAATTATCAATTCATGAACTATGATGAAAAGCAGTTTTGATCTTGCAGACCCTCTGAAGGGTCTCGGGACCCCCAGGAGCCCCAGACCACGGCTGCAGATCCATGCCTCAGTGCTTAAGCGGGGTCAGATCCGCCAGCCTGGGCTATGGCAGGGGCGGGGAGGCGCCGTGATGTGGGAGGAGGGGTACAAACCACCCTCACAGGCGAGGGAAGTGCCCGGCCCTGAGCGAAGAGATCCGAAGTTTCAGACTTGAGCCAAAATCAAGGACTTGCAAAGTCTTAGCCTCCCACCTTAACATGCGAAGGTGAAAAGAGCAGAAATGAAAAAAATAACCCGTCTTTCCCGTTTTTCCTCCACGAGTCCCAGATTTCCTGGAAT